GAGGCTGATGTGTTGAAAGGGCTTTTCAACCTCTGCGTCTTGTTAATTTTAGTAACCGTTTGTATTTTCCTTTTGAGTTGTAGACATATCTGTACCTGCTATGTATAGCTACACATTCTCATAGAACATTCTGGAGTATAAAGTGAATATATTTCTATTATCTATATAACAACACAAAAACAAAACTATGAGCATCAGAAAATGATGCAGTGTCATTCTTCAGCGAGTGCACATATTTTTTAGCTATATTACAGGACAAAAAGTCTAAACTGAATACATTTTACAGTGACATTGTACTAGAATGATTTGCTATAGAGGTGCACTTTTGAAGCCACACATTATGCAAGACAAACAGAATGTAAATATCCTGTTAACATGAGTTGTCATAGATGATCATGATGTCATAGACAGCTGTACTCTTTTGTTCACTTAAAAAATTAGATAAACACTTACATATATACAACTGTTCAAAAGTTTGGGGTCGGTAAGGTTTTTTTTAAAGAAATTATTACTTCTACACAGAAACAAATAGGTGTAAAAATTATTTTCATTCAGAAATTGTTAGTAGAATACACAATTACAAAAAGAGTAGAAGCAAGTAACACATTGAATTAAACATGAAATGTAAAAAAAAAAGAAAAAAGAAAAACAGAAATAGTATTTTCTTGTAAAATGTACTCCAATAAATAAATGCCGTTCTTTATAATTATCAAAAAAAAAAAAAGACTCGAGAAATGGGTGCTGAAAATTCACCTTTGCTATCACACGAATAAATTAAATTTTAAAATATATTTAAATAGAAAAATATCATTAATTATAATAATTATAATATAAATTATTAGAATATTTCAAAGTGTTTCTGTTTTTTACTGAATGTTTTAACAAATACATTGAGATAATATAATATTAATCAATTTTATTTTTTAATTTTCTGTTTTCATTTTAGTTTAAGTATATGTATAGCTTTTATTTATTTTAGTATCCCTGTTGTGGTCTTAAGGAACATTTCCAGAGCAGTTTTGCTCAGGTCTGGTTGAGCTTGTTCTAACAGCAGCATGGTTATCGGATACCAAAGAATTTGTCCTTTGCTTTCCACTCACTCTGTAATTTGTAGGCATTGCACAAATAGGCCAATTATCTTCATACCCGTGATTCCAACACAACCTTTGACCCCAACCTTTCCAACACCCATTCCCCACTGTTGGCGACGCTTACAAAAATACGGAGTGGAAAGGGAGTAAACGCCCTACTAGTACTGTTGTCACAGCCATTAAAAATCTATTCTTCATCACCTTTAGACTAATCTGGAGTGCGTGGATTAATTGAAGGATACGATCTGCACAAGTAGATAATGGATGTGCTTTTCCAAACTGAATATCAGTTCTTTCAAACATTTGGTTTACATAATTGTAAATTCAGTTGAATGGCAATGGAAAAGACAATATCCAGACAGTTGTTACAGATCATTAAAAAATATTAAAATTGAAATAGCAAAACTGAGCAAAACATACCTGTGTTAAAAAAATAAATAATAAAAATAAAAAATAGTGATCAAAACCACCCTAGTAATAGCACATTGTTCTCAAGTAGATAAAAAGTAGTAAAGAAAATGTTGCAAAAACAATTGAACAAACTTTCTTCTCTAGTTAAAACCCCACTGGATTTAATAGGAATTGGGTTTATATACTCATATAGGACCAAGATACTTTGAACATGGTCTTGTGGGAAAATACATGCCTTTTTTTTTTTTCTTCCCTGACTGTTCTACCGTGCAAGTAGAGGATCAAACAGATTAATTCTATAGCTTTTTGGATGAATATAAACCAAATCAAGACAACATCATGCAAACAAACAGCAATGTTTCGCTGAAAAAACTCTTGGAAAGGGAATGTGGAATTGAAAAGTAGCTTGGAAGCTGATAAAAGATTGTCATAGAAAGATTGTTTATTTTCATGAACTGATCAAACGTGACTAAAATGAGAGAAATTATTTACAAGAAAGCATACTTTCCCTATTAAAATGACTAAAGTTGTGTCTGAATTCCCCTACTTTCAGATTATGTACTTGAATTTAAAGTTCACTGTTCACTACTGTTGTACATTCTTTAGGTGTGTAGTATGAAAGTAATTTACTCTGGTGTTGTTAAATAAGTACAATTTAGCAACAAGGTACATTTTCTGTTACCTAAAGCACTTAAACTTGACGAGCTGCTCGGCTCATAGTTTTTTGGCATTTTAAAAAAAATGTATCGTAGAAACTGACAGATTCTCTGCACCTGTGGCCTTATGGGATAGCAGTGGTTGCAGTATCTCAACATATGCTGTGTGTTAACCAGGTATTGTTTGTCTGTTTCATAAATACTGCATATTCTGATATCCTACTCATTTGGTGTTATCTTTTTGCATATTATATAGGATGGAAATAAATGTCTTTTGAACAAAATTGACCTTTGACCAGGACATGCTATTTTTATCTGATTAAGCTCATTAGTTTAAACTCATTAGTTCTATGGAGGTTGAATCATGCACACATGCAGTACATTCTTCATGTAGTCGAATGTGTCCTTGATGTGTCCAGACTGTAGAGACATTCAGTTCATTTGAACTATTGAGTCTGATGACAATGTGATAGCGTGTGGAAATGAATAGTTCAGGCCAAGAATAAAACTGATCTGTTGATTAGATATTTTGGTGGATGCATTCCAAATGATGCTGTAGGGGAAAAAAGACAGGACTTTGCAAGGGTGGCAGGTACATTTTGTGATTCACCTGTTGAGATGCAATAGTCCCAATGCAGAGGATGAGACTGAGAGTACATTGAAACTCAATCTGTGTAATCAAATTTGAGTTTTCAATTTTTTGATATGATTCATATTATGATTTCAGAGCATGACAATGTTTATTACATTACAGAGAAGGTTATCAAGCACTAAGATCATATGATGCATCATCACAATGAGGCCATTATGCAAATGAATTGTCACAATGTACTGTAATATTTTAAAATGCTATTAGTAGACAAAAACTCAGTAGTACTAAATATAACTATTTCATTTTCCTTTTCTTTATGGCAGTGCATTAATGAGATTAATGATTAGATGCACAGTAATCTCGAGAAGCCAGACTACTGACTAGACTGCAAAGGTCTGGTCCATATTCTGGCCATGAACCACCCACATAGACAGGAAAAGTGGTTTGTATTGTTCATACATGTCATTTAAGTGTGAGATTATCTGAGATATATTATGCCACAGTATAGTGTGGAAAAACTCATTTAAATAATAGCTTAAAAAGTTTCAAACATTTCTTTCAAAGAGATTTAATGTCAATAACCATGCAAACTTTGGCAAATCCAATGATCATTTCATTCTGTGCTTGCTGTGTTAAATGAATAGTTCACCCAGAAATTTGTTGAACATTTTCTCACCCACAGGCCATCCAAAATATAGATGAGTTTGCTTCTTCATCAGAACAGATTTTTCTGAAAGAAATTTAGCATTATGTCACTTGCTCACCGATGGATCATCTGTAGTGAATGGGTGCCGTCAGAATGAGTGTTCAAACAGCTGATAAAAACACCACAATATTCCACAAGTAATTCACATAACTTCAGTCCATCAGTGAATGTCTGAATGTGTGAAGTGAAAAGCTGTGTATTTTACAAATCTATCATTAAGATGTTTTTACCTTCAAACTGTTGCTTCTGGCTGAAATAGGAGTCCTCTATCTACAGTATAATACAGGTTTCTCTATGCAGTGAAAAAGTAATCTTGCTTGAATTAGGAGAGAAATATGGACAGAAGTGAAAACAGTCCAAAACAGTTTAATTTTAATGTGAGAGGACAGCAGGGGATGGACTTTTTCACTGGAGGAAGCATTTTTAGACTCATATGTTGGCCAGAAGCGACGGTTTAATGTTTAAATATCTTACTGATGGATTTGTTTCTTATAAACATGCAGCTTTTCCTTTTTACAAGACATTGATTGATGGACTGAAGTCATGTTGATTATTTGTGGATTATTGTGATGTTTTATCAGCTGTTTGGACTCTCATTCTGATGGTACCCATTCACTGCAGAAGATCCATTGCTGATTAAGTGATGTAATGCAAAATTTGCTCTGATAAATAAAAAACAAAGTCATCTACATCTCAGATGGCCTGAGGGTGAGTAAATTTTAAGCAATTTTTAATTTTGGGGTGAACGTTTCCTTTAACCAAGGCCTTGTAAACACAACTACTATGTGCCATATCTTTCTTCAGTTAAACAAAGACAAAACTGAAGTATTTGCATTTGGCAGAAAACATGAAATACTCAAGGAGTATTCCTTCAAGTCAGGAAACTTGGTGCCATTTTGGAATGAGAATTTAATTTCAGGAGCCATTTAAAAGCAACAGCTAACTCGCACTACTATCATCTAAAAAATATAACAAAATTAGAGGCTTTACATCCAAACAAGACTGAGAAAAACTACTTCATGCCATCATCACCAGCAGGGTGGACCACTGCAACTGACTCCTTTTAAGTCTTCCCAAAAAGACCATTAGTCATCAGCAGTTCACAAAATGCTGCTGCCAGCCAGGATTCTGAACAAAAAAAATAATAATAAAAAAAAAATAATAATAATAATGCTGCAAGAAAAAATATAAATATGTAAACAATATATAGGTATACATAAATGTAAATTATATTATAAATTATAATACATTAAATATATTAGAAATATAACTATGCATAACCGTAGCTAATAATACTTTCAATTACCATATCGCCGATATGAACGTGCTTGCCTTTGCCTCGCCTTTGTAATTAACAGCAAGCATGCTGTCATGTCACTGACTGAGACGATCTAACAAGTCTGTTGTTTTCAGCATTTCGCCGTCTTTCTTGTAGGCTCATCACATTGGGTGACTGCTCTAGGCTGCCTCGGGTCGCACCACGATCAAGCATCTCGGCGGCTGCGCTCCCATCCTCATTCGGCATGAGAGGAAGGACACGGCGGTTGCGGAGAACCGACTGCGCTGAGATAATAATAGCCAGATTTCTACCACTGTAGTCAACAGCACCGGGATCTGAGTTGTTTGTTTCAATTAACACGGGGCAGACAACGTGGCTGGAAACGGAGTCTGCAAGACGTCAGTCTATCTAGTGAGCTGCCTACATAGACAGCTTTTTTGGACATCATACCGCATTCGTGCGCGCTCCGGGCAGCATTCATTCACTGTCGCTGTCCACACACGCATGTACAGTATGTGTGAACGTGCGGAGAAGTTGAAGATGCCACTCTGAATCATCTGGGCGCTTGGATCGACGGTAAGAGCACGTATTTATTATGGAGGAATTTAAATACTGTTACCAACTTGATTTTGTTAGGGAGCATATAGGGACTCGCACCTGTGCATGCAACCTCTTCCTATCAAAACAATCTACCGCATTCTCCGTGGTTTTGCACGGGTCTGTGTTGTGTTTCATGCCCAAAGCCTCAAAGTTGTCAGATGTCTTTTCCTCTGCTCGCTGTTGACATCTGGGGTATTTTAAGAGAAATAATAGGTGACTCAACTGGCATAAAGTAAGGACAGATATAACCATGTGTCATATTGCCCTTAAGGCATTGAAAGCTAGCTATGGCTGTAATGGGTGAGATTTATTTAGAGAATGTGAACTTTATAGAAAGTTGTGGCTGTGTATCCTGTTTATTTGTATTCGTGTGTAGTCTTAAATGCTGGAAAAGTATTTTCTTCTTGTAGAAACTGAATGTAGTGTCAAAGAAGAGCTTGCTTAAGTCAGGATGTTTTAGACGATTTCAGACAAACATCTGGCAGGGAATGATGTGCATGTGGCTTAACAGGGGCTTAACTTTCACATGGGTTAGTTTAAGATCTCACAGCATTAGAAGTTAAAATGACTGTAATTTGGAAAGTTTGATTTTTAAGCAGTTTTAGAAGTGTCTTGTAGTGTGACCAAGGTCAGAAATTATCCATGGCTTGGTAAAAAAAATAAAAAATGACACCAAGTCACAATTTCCTTAGATATTTAAAATATGGGGCAAAAACTTTTTATATGGTTCATGATGTTCTCTAGTTTAGGTACCAGAGTGACCTGTAGTTGCAACCAAGGTGAAGAATGTGAATAATGAAATGTTTTTTGATGAAAGCTATGTTAGAATATATATATATATATATATATGTATATATATATATATAAGAAAGAAAAGAAAAGAAAAGAAAAGAAAAAAGTAATGGCTTTGTGAAAAAGGCAATACCCCTGATAATGGGGGAAATGTTGTTCTTCATATAAAAGCTAATATGTAACACAAGCTGTGAAATGACAAAATTCAATTAAAACTGATTTAAACTGATTTTTCAGCTCTTATTATACATGCAGTGTTTATGACCATATTAATTAAGATATCACATTGAATATTTGTGAAATATTGTCATTTTAAAAGTTTTTAAACTTTTTTTGTGTATTTGTCACACTGCAAGACTATTTGAAATGAACTAGTGAAGGCTAAAGAGAAATTTTAAATGGTGGCCAGCGGTTACGGGATATAAGAAGACTTTCTGTTATACACATGTACATTTTAACTTAAAATGTTGATGTTGAATAAAAATAAATTCTTGGATATTTGATATGTGAGTCACCCAATTACAGTTCTGGAAGAGTATGCCCAGTTTAAAAATTAAACTCGGCTTTCACAGAATCTTATATGTAGTTAATGCCCAGCCATAACCTTAGAGCAGCATCTGTAGTACTTGGAGCCATTTGGACCAGTAGTTCCTCCCCTAGTGGGTAAATCATTCATTGCAACAGATACAGTCCTACTGTGAAGGTTTTCTATATTTGATCAAATTCAAGAGATCTCATATCAGGTGTCAGGTATTCTTTTTATTAAAAGTGCATGAGTCTTAAAAAGAGTTTTTATAGTCTGCATTCAATACTTTTTGTTTTAAATTATGCTACAAGATGTAAGATAAACTGTTATTGCCAATTTTTTGGCTATTGCTACAAATATACCCCAGCGACTTAAGACTGGTTTTGTGGTCCAGGGTCACAAATGATTAATGAATTTTGACCTTTATATCCTATCATAAAAAGCTGATTTTTTAAAAGATGTTATGATTAGTTAGAAAACCGCAGCACTGTGATAAATGGATATCATTAAAAGAACAGATGGGGTTTGCGAGACATGTCTTCTATGGTCTTTCTATTCTGTCCTCGGTACTTTTGACCTGTGGGCAGTATTAGCGATTCAGACATAAAGCAGCACTCCATGCACTTTAGATTGAGAACCAGCTCCCATGTTTAATGCATCTCTACGCTCCTAGGCTGTTGAATGTGGAGAAGTGTCTCAGAGAGAGAGAGAACATTTCTAATGAGAGTAGTATTTTAGATGCAGTAAAGCCCTTTTGTGAGAGGAAAAGTCTCGGAGAGACTGAGATTAAATAAAAGAAGGGTTTACAGAGGAAGCGAATCCCTCCGTATATTTTACTTAGATCAGTATGGCTCACTTTTGACTATCAAATCTACAAAGCCTTCATCAATAGTATATAGTGATGTTCTGTACCCAATTTTATCTTTTAATTTTTTTTTCCAGATAGAGAACATTTAGAAGTCAAATTATAGAGGATGACATTATTAGCAAACGATTGTGGGTGTGTAACTGCAAGTTTATAAACCATGTATATTTCATACGCACTTCTGTGTTATGCTCAGGGCCTGTGCTGTACTTTTTGGATTTAAACCTTTAATCATAGTGAATCAGCACACTTAGATATCAGGATGCTTTTATATTGCTACTACTGCTTATCTTTGCTGAGAGGAAAAGTTGTTTTTGCAAAGTCCAGAAATTGTGTATGATTTCCTTATAGCAAAGTTCAAGACTAATTGTACCGGTGGGACTCCTGCGGGAGTTTTAAGAAACTGCTTTTCACACAGTAAGGGGGACCCACAGCAGCACTTGGCATTAGTGTTTCTCCAAAGGCTTAAGCTGCAACATCCCGCTTATCAACTCGTGAGTGTCTTTTCATGAGCGAGTGAGCCAAGTCAGATATAAGGAGTGTGGGTAGGCATTATTCAAGAGACAATTACATGCATTCCAAAAGCTAGAATCCTACCATCCAGCCGTGATCCTGCTGAGGTAAATGGTAATTAGCGGTCCTATTTTAATCCACTATAGATGTGCTCTGACATGAGGATGCCAGGCTTTGACTGTGGCAGAGGATTACGGTGCTCGTGAATAAGTGTAGCAGGTGGGAAAGGTGTGTCAAAGTTATCTCACCACGCTCTTGCGTGTATCCACCGTTTTCATCACTGTTCTAGCGCTGACCTCTGATTGGGCACTTCAGTGCTCAGAACACTCACTCTGAACAGCTGTGAATAAAGGTGTGGTCACGCTGGCTTTGAGCAAGCTAAGTTTCCTTGCAATGATTAATGGCAACAACTGGTGTTTAAAATAAATAATAAATCACTACTACTACTACTACTAATTCAATTGTCAAACTAATTGTACTAATTGTACTAAATTGTACTAATTCTAAATAAAACTAATTGTTCAGTTGTCAGCTCTTTTTTTTCTGCAGCAATTATCAGCAACAGGATTTGATGTTATGCTTTTTTAAAATAAATAATAACAAAAAACTATAAGTATGCAATTATTATTATCAGTGTTGTTATTATTATTAATTATATAATATTTGCGATAAATAATAACAATAGCAATAATAAATACATTTATATGACTAATGCTACTAACATAATTCATAATTCAAATGATGAATAACTGATTCAAAATGGGAAAATATAGCATCTGCTCCAATTTCCTACCAGCAACAGGATGTGATGTCAAGTTCCAGGGCTTCTGTTTTAAATAAATAATAAACCACAAATATTATAATTATGTAATTATTATTATCATTATTGTTATTAATATTAATTATATAATATTTGAGATGGTATTTATATTATTAATATGATTATACATTTATATTATTACTACTACTGCTGCTATGACAGTAATTCATAATTTACATTATTGATCATTTAAAATGGGAAAATATAGCACCTATTCCATTTCCCCACAATGTTGCATGTCATGCATCTTTAAAATTGGGCCAATAGGTCAATGTTTTACAGTGTTTTACACGTTTACACGCTTGCAATTATACTCTAGAGCATTTGTATGTGTATAAATGAAAGAGAACTGAGCACAAAGTCCAGTGTGACCGCAATTTTACCCTTTCAGATCACAAATGCTGGTTATTACTCAATGAGGCCTATATTAAACCTGGATTTGAACTGTTTTCTGTTTGAGAGTGTGATTTAACAAGGTTAAGGTGTTGCTTGGGTGCATTGAGTTCAATTGAAAGACTACTAATGTGATGCATGTGCAGGCGCTAATTGTGTCTGTCTTCCACTCTGTGAAAGGTGAAATTACTCTCAGGACAGGTGAATTTAATTTTCCTCACATGGGGAGGAAGAGCAGGGTTTTGGCTCGGTGGTTTTGATGAATGCAGGCTGAGAGAGGGCGAGGAACAGACAGAGTCACTGTATAGTCATAAGAGGAGGAAAGTGGGAGGAATCTAGGCCATCTGTTAGAGTTAGCAAGTGATATTTTGTGGGCAACAATGACGTCGTTCAACCGCACAAACAGGCTTTGTTCTGAAACTTGAAGCCAATTCCTGATTTGTTAGTGTCAGAGAGGTGCTTTGGCTTTGTCTCTGCTTTACATTTTTAAGACAAAGCTCATATTTAAGCCCAGTAACATGCCAAGTAACATTTTTTGTCTAAAAAATTCAAACATAAAATCAGAAGCTTTATATAATGTATGACAGATGGATGACTATTGCTTTTGAATAAAGAAGTTCTCATTTTATTTTATTTTGAATAAAGAGACCTCTGGGAATCTGGGGACGATGGCACCAGCCGTGCGTAAGTTACAGTTTAGCCTAGTTATAGTTGGACCATTAAACTTATATCAGTAATAATGGTTGATAGACCGAATGGATTAAAAGCGACCAATCTCAGTCACTTAGACAATACAGTATTTGATCATGTTAACATTTATGCTTGTTTACATTTTATGAGACAACACTGTGAATGAATGACTGACTTCTGTGGTGATGATACCAGTCTAAACAGTGCATTTGCTCCTCGAAATTAAAACAAACGTCAGTTTCTCCAGTATTTGTTTATTGTCCCGATTAATTTTAGAAACAGCTTCTGAATATTTATTATTTACATATTTAACAGCATCAATATTTAAACAGACTTTTCAGCACTACTTTTGTTTGCAGATTTGAAGGCTGCTTATT